GCCCCCAGAGGGCGGGCGATCCCGCCTTCCCTTCCACCCCTCCAAGCGCAGTGGCCGATCTCAGCCGCTAGGGGGCGGTTTGTTTTCAACGGTCCAGCTCTTGCCTTTAATCCCTAGATATGCTTGGCCTGCCCTAGTGCAGCGGCCAGCCCAAGTCCTGGGGCGGGGAGGGGGGGGGAGAATCCATTTAAATATTTACCTTTTGCCTTTTTTCCCTGTCCAGGTACCACCCTGAACCACTAGAGGGCAGACTTTTTAGCATCCTACGGAGTCCCCTTTCCTCCTTCCTTGTTCAAGTGCAATTACGCCTTGAAGTCACCAGGGGGCGCTATCCATCACGTCCTGTTTAGTAGCTGGGCTCTTCGAATGCAATTGCTAAACCGAGCCACCAGGGGGCAGGAGCATCCCTTTCCCGGGGAAAGTTCAGTAGCAATTGCCAGCCTCATTTCTATTCGCTTTGGTTGCAGTTCCCACCCGAGCCACCAGATGGCAGTATGTCATCCTCCAGTAGCTTCTCGCGGGTGCAATGCCCACGTGGAGCCGCTAGAGGGCAGCATTTTTATTATCCTCAAATAGCCCTTCCTTCCCAGGGACGATGTGGAAGTGCCGTGCTACTTTCTGGTAGCAAAACATGAACTTTATTAAAAGGCATCTCTTTTTGTAAGCTGCCCTCGCTCCATCGGATGCCGCCTGCGGCCCACAAAAGCTTTCCAGAGAAAACTAGCCCTGTAAGTCATCCGAGGGCAGTTTTTACTTTGGAGATTTCTAGGGCGACGTGGAAGGAAAAATCCCGAACTCCAATTTCCGGTCCTTTTGAAAAGGATCTACGGAGAAAATCCTGCCTCTGATTTGCTCAACGGCCATTTCCCTTCCAAGTCGTGAAAGGAGCAATGCTCCCGAGCGGTGGGGCTTCGCGGCGTTTCATTACCGGTCGGCAAAATGGGTGCGTTTCTTTGACGGACCTCCCTGGCTTCTTCACGAGGAGACACGTCTTGCGAACTTTTTCGCAAAATGGTGGGGAAGCTTCTGTTCCCCCGGACAAATTCCCAAGAAATCGCCCACCCCATTCTCTGTGGGTGAATTTCCAAAGGCCGTCCGACTTCAGGCACAACGGGGAGCGAAGGAGGACGGGAAGAGCCGTCCATGCGCTTCAGTGAGATCTTTCCTGTGACACCCCGCTGGTTTCTCTCTCTCCCGGGGAAATAACTGGGAAAAATGGATGGTGGAAACAAACACGTGGAGTCTGACGCGAGAACGTCGGCTGTGCCCGGCTGCGTTGGACCCGCGGCTCAACCAGTCCAGCAGGCTGTTCTCCTAATGGCCAACCAGCTGCCCAAGGAAGCCCATCGGTCTCGCGGCAGATGGCCTTCAAGCAGCCGTCCGCGGCCATCAAGGCTAACTTCCAAAAGGTTAATTAATTACACGTCGTGTAAAGAACGAAATAGGAACCCTTTCCGCTCTCTCCTGGTTCGTTCAGGATTCAGTTCTCTGCTGGAGGCCGAGAGAGGTCCGATGCAGCCGACTCCCACGTTCGAAAGCCTCCAGGGTTTGTGAGCTAAGCCATCTTGTTCCCCGGAAGCCGAAGATGGCCTAGCTCGTCCCCGGGTGCCTTGTACAACTGGGTTTCCTGAGTAAGCCACGTTTGGTTTAAAGGGCTGGTGGTGGCCTCTGTTGTACTGCGGCAAGGAAATCAAAAGGATATGCACAAGCCTATCGTTCAACCATCTGCGCTACCGGGATGTCTCAATTTACTCTAGCAGAGTGTTTTTCATTCTTGGCCACTTGGAAGACACGTGGACTTTAACTCCCAGAATTCCCCAGGTGACTGGGGAATTCTGGGAGTTGAAGTCCACACGTCTTCAAGTGGCCACGGTTGAAAAACACTGTTCTAGTGGATTCTCGATCTTAGCTGAGTTAAACTTAGATGAACTAAACAAACCATAATGCAGTTGAGGCTAAAGGCGGCCTGTGAATGCAACCCCTGCTTCTCCCCGCCTCTCCATCCTTCGAAAGCAGGGCGAAAAAAACCACACCCAACCAAGCCTGGAAAACCCTCATTTTGCAGAGGCCGGTTATGTTTTATTCTCTTTTTTTCCCCCTCTTTTCTCTTTTCCTCTCATTTGCGTTTTGCCATTTCGCTTGTGGAAAACAAAACAAAAATGAACGAATAAAGAACCGACGAAACTTTCCACCCACAGCAGGGTCCCTGACGTTCCTTAAATAAAGCGGAGTCGGGCGAGGGAGGGGATGAGCGAGCGAGTGGGGACGAGACGGGCAACGGGGCCACCGGGATAGAAGAGAGGTTCCCCGGGGAGAAAACGACTTCCTGCTGCTAAAAGGGAAGGAGCCCAGTTTTGGCAGGAGCTGGGCCCAGCAGCATGGGGACAGGCAGCAGGGCTGTTTGGTCGTTAATATACAGAGGGGGGAAAGGGGGGATCCAGCAGGGCAGCGCTGCAGGATCGGGAAGGAAATAAGAGGAAAAGGGGAACCCGAGGGGTACGTGGGACCGTGACAAAACCGCTCACAAGCTCAGAGGAAGCCCAGCAGAGATACATTCATCAACTGTGGAATGCAGAAGCTGGGGAAGACCACCCCACCTCCCCCCCAAATCTCCCTTTCTCCCCATTTTGAGGAAGAGTGAAAGAGCTCAATCAGTTCATTCTGGCCACCCCGCGGGAGGAGACATTCCAGCGGCTAGCGGAGGAATGAGTATCCGTTCGTACAGCAGGCTGGGGGGCAGAGGGTCACTGGGGGCGGCGAAGGGTGGGGGGGATTGAAAGACGTTGCCCTGGCCCTGGGGATGGGGGGAGCCCCTGAGAGGAAGAAGCAGTTCAGCGGTGGCAAGGAAGGATGTCGCGCTAGGAAAAAGCCGGTAGGAATCCGGGTGGAAAAAGGAAATGCCTCGCGTCCATCAGCAAAAGGACGCGAGGAGGAGGAGGGGTGGGCCTCCCAAATTGCAGCCTTGATTGGGGGGGCGCTCCTGCCGAACAGGCACCCAACTAAGCAGGGAGACTGAGGGCAAAGATGGGAATGCTCTGCTTTGGGTTAGAAAAATAACAGGGGTGAATAGGAATGGAGAGAGACTGGGGGAGTAGGGGGGCAAGACAACATCAGTAAAGAAAAGGGCTGCCCAGATCCTGCCTAAGGGAGTGGGAGCCCCCTGCCCCCCAGCAAACAGATACAGATGTGTTCCCCCCCGCAACCAGTGACAGGGAAGGCGTGGCCTCTCAAGAGCCAGCTCCTCCCCGTCCAGAGTTAAAAGGGGGGGGGACAAACAGCCAAAGACACTCAACAGCACTCGGAGCAGTTGAGCTGGAAGGGAGGAAGGCCCCGTCCCCTCCACGGAGGTATCATCCGGGAAAACCACCTTCAGAAAATGAAAAAAAGAGGAGGAGGAGGGGGCCGGACGGTGGGAGGGGGCTGGACCCCGCTCCCCAGCCTGTTCCAGGCCCCCCCGCGCCCCCCCCCAACCCCCAACAAGCCCCTCTCGTCCACCCCCCGCGGCCCCTCC